CACAAAATTATCACCAGTAAACAGTGCACAAAATGTATATCCGGCTAATACACGGAATCAGGGAGATTTGGTTGAATCTGCGAGTGATCGAAGTAAGAAGATAGCAATACCTTATTCATACTTACATATATATTTCATCAACATTTACGCATATATATAATTTATGATCTTATGCATGATTGACATTTATTGTGATACTTATAATTTATCTATGTTATCATTATTTATGGACTATGGACTTATTTCTATTTACGGATAAAAAAGTTGGAACAGTTCTGCTTGCAACGATTAAACGCGTGGAGTAATTCAAGGAGATCGCTAGCGCATGACTATACGACCAAGCTTTTTTGATGTGACAATTTAATGGCACCTTCGTTGCATAACATAATAGGGTTTATTGTACATGGACATTATTCCATGATTGCATTAATTATTCTGTAACTTTTGAAACATAGTTTGTTGCGTGAGACTCTTTTGAGAGCTGCAGAAAATGCGGAAGTACACGTACTGAAGTATTTTCTTTGAAGTACCGTGAATCACTTCTATTTCTTCCCGAGGAGGAAGTCCTTCGGGTGGCTCGTTATATTAGCATCTTATTACAATCTGCGATGTTTTTTCCGTTTTTGTAATGGGAAGCGCCCGACTTTCAAAGTCGAGAGCGTGAGAATGGCAGTGACACACTTACTTAATATGCTGATTACTCATCGCACTACTATCCTTACATCGTGCGGAATCGCGATCGATTATTATACCTATTACGTTTATTTTTTTCCCGTAATCTGCACGTCTTTGAATTTTCGCAACTCATAATTAAATCCTAACAAATACACATGATGAATATAATTGTATCATTAATTTTGTAAACTCTATCGATTACCGAGAAAGAATGATGTACTGTTGACTCGTGGGAAGTCTACACAAATTTAAATTCTAAACCACAATGTCTTATTTCGGAAAACTATAATTTTACACGTTTTGGAAATTAAATACTGATCGAATTTATTAAGAATTTATTGCGATATATTTGCGAGTATTTTGTTATTTTTTTTAAATTTCTTATAAACATGTTCTCAACAATTAAAAAAAAATTGTTAAAAAATCACAATCTTTTAAATTCTAAATTATAAAATTAATCTTCATAAATAACTATATAATTTTTTAGAAATTGAGTCTTGATTTCAATAATTATTCATTCGTATAAAATATCGTAATTTATTATTCGTAATATATATAAAAAATATTTGTGCTAGCGTTTCATATAACTAAAGGTGGATATCCTGGATCAATTGGAGGATATCCCGGGGGATATCTTGGAAGATATCCCGGAGGATATCCATATGATACGGGAATCATTGGATCTGTTTATCCTGGTACATCATATCGTGGTAGCAACCTGATTCCAGGATATGGAGGTTATCTTGGGCCAGGAGGACTCATTGGCGGGGGGTAAGATTTGATTTTATCAAATTTTTTATTACAGAATGGTATTTAAAGAAGAAGAACAGTATTTAAAATATGAATATATACTCTTTAAAGTTTAAATTTTTAATTATAGTCAATTAATAGATATCAGTAGAATCTATTACCGCCGCGGTTCGATTCACAACGCTTAAAAATTGTTTCATCCTTGTTTTAAATGTTGAACAAAGTCAAATGATGCTCATGAACGTTATCAGCATGAATCGGACCATAGCCTATATGTGTTGTATTTATTTTAAATATTAATATTAAATGTAATGAGTATTTTCATAATTTTTATACTCTTAGACTATATATAAGAAATAAATAGATAAATATGAACAAATAAAAAAGTATAAGGATATATATATATATATATATATATATATATATACATATTTACATATGTGTGTGTGTGTGTGTGTGTGTATGTGTAAATAAAATATATAATAAAAGAAAAAAAGATAAAATATTAAAAAAATATTTTTAAAGAAGGACACATATTTACACGCTACATTCTAATTTAATACAAAATAAATTAAAAGTAAAAAGATAATTTGCTTTATCACAGATATGGATATTATGGTAATTATCCCGGATATGGCGGGTATGGGGGATATGGAGGATACCGAGGATATGGAGGCTATGGAGATTATGGAAGGGGATATTATCCCGGTAGTTATGGAGGCTATGGGGGTTATGGTGTTGGAGGTTACGACAATTTAGGATACGGACGTGATTACGGCCGTTACGATGGATACGATAATTACGGTTATGGAAATACATATGGTACATATGGCTCAACATATGCAGCGAGGAGTCCATATTCTCCATACAGTTATCGTAGCGATAGTTATGGCACTTCTTTGAGTAATCCGTCTGGTTATCGTGGTTATTCATAAACGTAACTTTGTTATATATTTTTATGTAACACTTACAAACAGTATAATTAAAAACTTAATATACATTTGTGTTATATATACAATAATATATATACATTTTAGTAATATATATAAACTATTAATTACAAATTTTGTTGGAATATTTGTAATCTGGAAAAGCTGTATGATAACATATCTTTCATATAACACAAAAGAAAAAAATTATAATAAAATTTGATAATACAACAAATATATGTATGCTATATAAGATTAAAATAAAAATCTGATAATTATATTATTATAATTATATTGTTTACGATATTTTTTATTCCTTCGCGTATATTTATATATTTTTCTATTATTTATTAGGTGTTGGAATTAATTCGTAGCGTTTTTTAATGAAAGAATGTTATTTATTTCACATGAGCATTAAAAAATACATTAATGAAAGTACTTCCCATCACTTGTAAAACGCTAATACAATTATATTTCTTTTGTTGCACTTAACTTTAATATGTTACTGTACAATAACATAAAAAAGAATGAACATCGAGTGCCAATTTTAGGTGCTTGGTTCCAACTATCTGAAGACGATTTCTGCGTGTGCGAATGCATCGCATGCTCATTTTGCGCGCAAACTGTGTCTGTTTGTATTTTAGAAACATTACATAAAGTTTCTTAATTGCAATCAGTGATGTAGGTATTTATAGATATATACATGTTATTGTATCTAGTTATTGTTTCTAAATACTTTTTGTGAATATTTATCTGCGTATTTAACTAATTACATTTCTTAATTCCGTAACTGTAACTATAGTTAGTTATGTTTTACTTTGTATCTTATCAAAATGTATCTAAAATAATATTTTAGATACATTTTAAGAGACACTCAATTAGTTACATGATCTAAGCAGACATCAATCCAGCCAATGAGCGAATTCATAAAAAATTATGTTATAGAAGGTAAATTCTGTTTAGCCATTAGCAACTCTTAAATTTAATCGGCCGTTAGTGAAGCCAGAGAGAAACCATGAAACTGGTCCTTAGATGATTGCAAAAATTTCATTAGTTAAAGATTAAAAGTAAGAATAAACTTTGATATTTTATATTATATGTATATGACTATATATATTGTATATTAATAAACTATATGTGAAACTAGAAAATAATTCTGCTTAAGAATAATAAAAGAAATAAGAACTTTATGTAAAAATTAAAAACAATTATTTTTTAGAAAGTTATAACATTTGAATCAATTACATTAATTCGAAGTCAAAGTTGAATTTATTTCGGAATTACTATCAACAACTTATTGGATTCCTGTTATTTTGTAGTATAGTTCTGCTAACTTTATAAATATTTTATACAACTAAATTCAATATTGATTTAACACAAGGCAATGTTCTTTTAATTTAACATGCTTTTAATTTAGGTATAGATATAAATACATACTTTTGTGAGTAACTAGATACAGGTATATTTATTTTAGAAATAAATTTAGATACTTGTACAGATACATAATTTTATTTCAAATATCTTTGTTTTTTCAACATAAGTACATTGAGAAAAAAATAGTGTTAAATGAATAAAAAGTAAATTAAGTCAATTAAATGCATGTATCACAGGCTGTCATAAATATAAATAATTAATTCAACTCCATTTGTTATTGACTTAATTTTAATCTTTTTATTTGTAACAATAACGTATTAATTTGACTTAAGAGTGTATAATAATAATTAGTTATATTTGTCTTCAAGTAACTGTAATGGTATTTAGTTATTTTAAAAATTGTATCTCTTACAACACACTGATTGCAATATTATACTTTCCGTTTTATTATCGATTTCTCGAGGCATCTCATGTTAGGAGCATAATTTTTTGACTTTGCGATTTGTTCACTTTTTACATTTCTTTAAGATAAAAAAAATAGAATTTGAATTTTATATAACATTATCTTAAAGCTTATTGAATTCCCTTCAAAATGATCTATTATTTTTTAAAATTCTGTCCATAGACTTCTAGCATTTATCCAAAATGAACTCGATATCTCATAATAGAGACCTTTTCTATATTTTGACAATGTATAATAAATGGAATATTGCCGCGATTATTAGAAAATGTATAGAAGGAAAAATTAACTACTAATTTAAAAACATACAATTTTTATTATAATAATTTCTACACATCTATGTATATATTAAATTATTAATACATATTAATATGTACTATATAATCTTTTTATTCAATTTTTGAAAAATCAAATATAAAATGTTTTAGCACAGAAAAATCTCTATTATACAAATTGTAATAATAAATATTAGGATATTGGTTAGTATTGAACCGTATATATAAAGAAATAGCATTTAGAAAAATCTCTCTTTAGTTTTACATCAAACTAAATATTGAATAAATAATCGTAATGAATTTAATATAGTAAGTTTTATAATTTCTATCAACTTAGAAAATTATCATTTTTATAAATAATATAGGATAGCATATATTTTAAATAATTTAAATAACAAAAAATTATGTAATATACAAAATTCAAAAGCAATAATGTTAGGAAAATTATATCTACAAAAGAGATGTTTTTTGCAGATATTTCTATTTTAAATTTCTTTAAATTAATCAAATATTAACAGAAAATTAACTTTCTGTCTGTCCTTTGTGCTACAAGATAAATTAATTTAATAAAAATGATACTGGAAAATTTATTATTAATTCAATTTTTAGTTTGAAGATTTTATGTATTCTATTGGCTTTGGTTATTTCGGCAAATATCTTTAATTTGGCTATCCATCAACTAACCAGCAGCTGACGGACAGGCAATGCCAATATCCTATATTTATTTCTATCCTCCAGGAGAAGATAAGCTTTTTTTAAAACGATCGCAACTTAAGCTTAATAAGTTAGTGTTACATTCCTCATTTCGCCTTTCTTCTTCGCTTGATGTTGGTCTTAACTGGAACATTCAAAAAGCCAAGATTGGATTGATATAATGCCTCTTTGAGATAGTCGATATTGCCAAGTTGATTTATATCGAGCATTTTTACAACAAATTTGTTGTCTTGTGCATCACATGTGTCGCATGCATATGGAACAGGAGTAGCGGACGGGAACATAAGTTTCATCTTATTGCTGTCCATCTCTTTGCCAGGACAGTATGGTACGAAGATAACAGGAATGAATCCCAATTGCCCAATGACAGAGGTGACAGTCGAACTGGTTGCTACGTTTGTGTTGTTATTCGGCTCGACTAAGTAACAGGGACATGCTTGTGAATTTGGCCCTATAGGTAACGATAAGGGCTTGACGTTGATGGAGCTGGGCGGCTGAACCCGTATAGCGTCGAGAACGGGATTCATCCGGAATGTCTGCTCAAGGCGTGCATTTACCTGTCTGTTTAGAGCAGAGGAAGGTCCATCCGACTGAAAGGACACGTTAGAAATAAATTTGCCATCCACATCGGCAGAATTATTATATTGTCCATCCACATTAAATTTGTCTTCTTGTTGTTTTAATTTATCAGATTGATCTGAGCCTTTAGGAGGCTTTTGCTGTTGTGAGTTATAAGATGGATAAAATATTGACTTTTGATACTGATCCTGATCGTGCATAGAAAATTGCTTCAAGTTATTTTTCGAAGGTTTCTTTATTTGTTGTGATTCTGTATGTATCAAGTGATCATAAAATTGTAAATTCGGTTTTAACACATCTGTATATTGATAATCTTCAATCTCATATTTCAATGATGACGGTGTCAGATCTGTTTGCAACAGTGAATTGATTTTATTTGCGTTGTAGATAGTTTCTTTTTCCCCATAAATTGATGATGTGGATTGAGTTTCGTATTGAGGTCTATGCTGACTATGCTTTATATATAATGATGTATTAACTTTTGTTGGATGTGACAATTTCGACAATTTGATATCCTTTAGAGTATAGCCCGTATACGAAGAATCAGTTTTATTATTAAAACTATATTTTGAGATGGAGTTATATCTGTCTGTGTCAAATGATTCAATGGTAGGATGATTTATTGAACTTTTATGCGAAGGTTTTCTTGTTGGTTTTATTCCGGGTATATAATCTGGATCACCAGGCCATGGTCCATCAGGACCTGGGGAACCGGTTGGCCATGGTCCGTCGGGACCATCAGGACCAACGCCACCGGTACCTCCAATGCCACCAATATCACCAATTGGACCTACATTTCCCACTGGACCTTCAGGTCCTATTGGCCCTTCTGGATACTTTGAATTTTCTGTATATTCTGGATACGTAGGATAACCTGGATAACCTACATGGATGTAATCAGAACAATATGAATAAATTATTATGTATATATTCAAATCTTATGCAAGAATAACTAATGTTTGATGTAATATTTTTTGTAATTACAGTAATAATAATTAAGTAATCTTAATAACATACCTGGTTTACTCGGCTTGAAAGAAATGCTTGGCCTATTTGGAGTAGTGGTAATCCCGGGATATAATAAATCATCTGGTTTACCTAGCATTTCAGAATGTAAAGGTACATTAGGTGTTTCTGATGTAACAGGATAAATAGGATATCCAGGATATGACAATATTGGTTTTCCTAGATTTTCAGATATTTCTGATATACCGAGAGTACCAGATGTGCTAGCAATACTAATTCCTATGTGTCCTGGATATGATATTCCCGGTTTTCCTTGTGTTTCCGGAGTTCCTGGTACACCAGGATATGTTGGGTATAATCCGACTATTCCGGGAATGCCTGGAGTTCCTGGATATCCAAGATATGAAGGTATTCCTGGTATCCCAGGTATGCCTGGAGTACCAGGAATGCTAGGAATCCCTATACACCCTGGATATGATGATGCTCCAGGTTTTCCTGGAATGCCTGGAATTCCGGTTGAACCAGGAGTTCCTGGATATCCAGGATATGCCGATATTCCTGGTGTTCCTGGTATGTCAGATATACCTGGAGTACCAGGAGTTCCTGGATGCTCAGGGTATGACGGCGTTTCTGGTTTGTTTTCTGGTTTTCCTGATATGCTGGAAATGCCAGCAACGTTAGAAGTTCCAGGATGTCCGGGATACAACGAAATTTCTGGCTTTTCAGGTGATCCTGAAATTTCGATTGTGTCTATAGTACTATGAATGCTAGAAATCCTAATATGTTCGCTGGAATATAACGACGTGATTGGTATTTCTGATATTCCGATTATTTCGGTAGTACCAGGTGTGTCAAGATAATCTGAATGTGGAAGTAATCCAGATGTTTCTAATGAACTAGAAATACCAGATGTACCCGCGTGTCCAGGACATTGTGACGTGCTTGGTGTTTCTGGTATATCGGATAAGTCTGAAATCTCTAGATATCCAGGATACGATAGTGTTATTGATACGCCTGGAATTTCAGGAGGTGTGCTTGGAGTACCAGAAATGCCAGGAGTCCCTGGATATCCTGGATGTGATGGTATTTCTGGTTTTTCGGGCATACCTGAAATACCAGAGATGCCAGGAGTCCCTGGATGCCCTGGATATAACGATGTTCCTGGTTTTCCTGGTGTGCCTGAAGTACCAGGGAAACCAGGAGTCCCTTGATGCCCTGGATATGACGGTGCTCCTGGTTTTTCTGGTATGCCTGGAAATCCAGGTGTCCCTGGAGTACCAGGGATGCCAGGAGTCCCTTGATGTCCTGGATATGACGGTGCTCCTGGTTTTCCTGGTATGCCTGGAGTACCAGGAAAACCAGGAGTCCCTTGATGTCCTGGATATGACGGTGTTCCTGGTTTTCCTGGTATGCCTGGAATTCCAGGTGTCCCTGGAGTACCAGGGATGCCAGGACTTCCTTGATGCCCTGGATATGACGGTGTTCCTGGTTTTACTGGTATTCCTGGAATTCCAGGTGTCCCTGGAGTACCAGGGATGCCAGGAGTTCCTTGATGTCCTGGATATGACGGTATTCCTGGTTTTCCTGATGTCCCTGGAATTCCAGGTGTCCCTGAATGCCCTGGATATGACGGTGTTCCTGGTTTTACTGGTATTCCTGGAATTCCAGGTGTCCCTGGAGTACCAGGGATGCCAGGACTCCCTTGATGCCCTGGATATGACGGTGTTCCTGGTTTTACTGGTATTCCTGGAATTCCAGGTGTCCCTGGAGTACCAGGGATGCCAGGACTCCCTTGATGCCCTGGATATGACGGTGTTCCTGGTTTTCCTGGTGTCACTGATGTACCAGGGGGAAACCAGGAATCCCTTGATGCCCTGGATATGACGGTGCTCCTGGTTTTTCTGGTATGCCTGGAATTCCAGGTGTCCCTGGAGTACCAGGGATGCCAGGAGTTCCTTGATGTCCTGGATATGACGGTATTCCTGGTTTTCCTGATGTCCCTGGAATTCCAGGTGTCCCTGAATGCCCTGGATATGACGGTGTTCCTGGTTTTACTGGTATGCCTGGAATTCCAGGTGTCCCTGGAGTACTAGGGATGCCAGGAGTCCCTTGATGCCCTGGATATGATGGTGCTCCTGGTTTTCCTGGTGTGCCTGGAGTACCAGGGAAACCAGGAATCCCTTGATGCCCTGGATATGACGGTGCTCCTGGTTTTTCTGGTATGCCTGGAATTCCAGGTGTCCCTGGAGTACTAGGGATGCCAGGAGTCCCTTGATGCTCTGGATATGACGGTGTTCCTGGTTTTCCTGGTGTCACTGATGTACCAGGAATCCCTGAATGCCCTGGATATGACGGTGTTCCTGGTTTTACTGGTATTCCTGGAATTCCAGGTGTCCCTGGAGTACCAGGGATGCCAGGAGTTCCTTGATGTCCTGGATATGACGGTATTCCTGGTTTTCCTGATGTCCCTGGAATTCCAGGTGTCCCTGAATGCCCTGGATATGACGGTGTTCCTGGTTTTACTGGTATTCCTGGAATTCCAGGTGTCCCTGGAGTACCAGGGATGCCAGGACTCCCTTGATGCCCTGGATATGACGGTGTTCCTGGTTTTACTGGTATTCCTGGAATTCCAGGTGTCCCTGGAGTACCAGGGATGCCAGGAGTTCCTTGATGTCCTGGATATGACGGTATTCCTGGTTTTCCTGATGTCCCTGGAATTCCAGGTGTCCCTGAATGCCCTGGATATGACGGTGTTCCTGGTTTTCCTGGTATGCCTGGAATTCCAGGTGTCCCTGGAGTACCAGGGAAGCCAGGAGTCCCTTGATGCCCTGGATATGACGGTGTTCCTGGTGTACTTGGAATACCGGGAATGCCTGGATGTCCTGAAAATAATAATTGTAATGTATTGAAATGATTAAAATTATTGTTAAAGAATTAATTATTGAAGGAATTAATGTAAATTATATCAAAGATACTGTTTTTGGATAGTATGTTAAGGAATGAAAGTAACTCATTACTTGTTATGATATAGTTACAATTTGATGATATAGTTACAATTTTTTTGTTAATTTTATTGATTATTGCGTTACTTTTTTTCTTTGGTAACGATAACGAAATTACATTTTTTTGATAACGGTAACGAATTTTACAGTTACCTTTATCATTACTTTGCACATGATACGAACACAATATGATATTGAATACAAGCTATTCATAACATTTGAGATTAGAAAACCCTTATAGGTCTGCTGTAATTGGCGATCGTCGATTTTAAAAAAGTAATAAGAAAATAATGAAAACCTACTTTTTTAAGTAACGGTAATTGTAACGAGTTACTTTTAAAAATCGATAATTAATAACAGTAACTGTTACTTTTTCTACTCGGTAATAAATAATTATAACTTGTTTTAAAAAGTAACTTTCCATTCCCTGTAGTATGTTATATATTTTTGAAATTTATTTTGATTGTCATTGTTTGCAGAATTTTCATAATGATCCTAAACAAATAGTTTTTCAATGGCATTTATAGTGAAGAAATGAATATGATATAAGTATTTTCGTTTCAATTATATATTATTATAAATAATATTATTTAAAATTTTTTTTTTATATATGTAAATTTTGTATAATATTATTTCTTTCTCTATTTTGTCAATTATATATACAGTATATTTCATTTTAATCCCAAACAAATATGTCGAAAAATATGAAAGATACAAAAGAATTTGAGACAAAAGTTGTATGGTTTCGAGGGGGACATAAGATGGTATCATTGATTTGATCTTAGGTGGCGTTATCAAAGTCAAGGCAAAGTCATTTTGACTTTTTTAAATGGAACCCTCAAATTTTCATTGCATATTCTTGTAGCTTATCTCGAAAGCTTTCCAAAACACTATAATTAAGTTCATTTTTATTAAGTATTTTGCGAGTTATAAGGCTTGATAGTTACAATACTGTCGACATTAACATTACCCAAAATGTCCGACCAACGGCTAAAACCTCTTTAATGTTGTTCAGAATTATGTCTTGAATAACATTTATTAAATTCAAGGAGATTGTTTCTATTATTTTCATTTTTACTTAAAATGAATTTTCAGTGCAAAAATAAAAATAAGAAAAATAATCTCCAGTTCCAGCCAATTTCCAATTGCCTGATTATTATTTGTTTACTTTTTTTAATTTTAATTGTTTATATCAACAATTACGATCTATAAAAACGTATCTCATATATTTCTATTTTATCTACGTTGTGATAAGATCTTGAAATGTAGAGGTATTTTCTTATTTGATGCTTCAACACTCAATCTGACAAAGTTTTAATATTATTTCTGTTAACGTCTAATTGTAATGATTTTTATGATAAAATACAATATCAAATGTTACTCTTTTTTTTTAATTTTTAATACATCTTTTACTCTCTAATATATTATGAAGTTTATTAATAATGTAATTAATTTTATATATAATATTGTTCTATATATGTATATGTTTTATGATGTAATTTTAAATACATTGTTATTAATATATAATATAATATTTAAAATTTTTATACCTGATGAGTCAGGCCTATAAGGAGGTCGAGTTGGTTTTGTTTGAATCATTGATCCGCTTCCAATAGGTGCTGCTTAAAATTCCAGTAGATGACCACATATTTATTTTAATAACACACTCATTCGCAGTTTTTATGTATAATATATATAAACCTGACAATAAAGTTCCCAACTGTAGCAGTAAAGAAACACAGATATTACACATAATAAAGTGTTGTATTTTATCTTTAAAAAAAGAACAAATTTATTTTATAGAGTTCTTTTAATATTATTTTTTATCTTTTAAACTTTAAAATAATCCTTCATAACATACATGCATCTTACGTATCTTTGATACAAAACCGTAAACTATAATAGTGATAACTGTCTTTCATAGCGATTTCTGTCTTTCAAAACCGTAAACCTTTTTTTAAAATTTGTAATTGGGATTGTTTCCAAAAGCTCTAAAATATTTTGAAAGATAAATATTTTCAAAACATCGAAGACTTTTTAGAGGACTGTGATGACTGCTCTAAACAGAATTGCAACTATAGATTTTTAAAAAAATTTCGAATATCTAATAGATATATAAAATGTGCTGATATTATGGAGCACAACATTAATTTTAAAAATACAACGTTTGTTATGAGATATTTGTATTTTTTTTTATTTCTGCAGTCTTGAAACTTTACTGTCATATCACATATACTTTCATTTACATACTTTCTTCACTTGGTAGAATGTTCGTGTTTGTGTATTGCGCACACACCATGGGGAAATGTAACTCTCGCCATGGTGTAATCACACCATGATGCTCGTGATGATCATGTTTGTCTCCGTTTTCATGATGTTCATGCTTGTGAAGGAAAAGTTCCACGTCCTTCTCTGGTTGAACAATGCGATAACCCCATCCGTCACTGATATAAAACGTTGTTTTTAGGTGACCAAAAGGATCAACATAGCCATAACATCCATAGGTAATCCCATGTAGGCCACGTATTTCGTGATGAAATTGTCCATGTGGATTGACATCGTAACCATATTTGTATGCATCTGTAAAGTATAATAATCAATTGTAATCGCAACTTGTCATATCTAAATTTAATTATAAGAAAAAGTGAAATCTATAATTTTTACGTATCATTTTATGTAGCATTTCATATTAAAAATGGAACATATTAAAATTATGGACTCACTTTATTTGTGTGTCAAATTTTTTATTATCTATATTTCTTTCATTATTTTTAAGTCTTTTGAACTTGCCTGCTTCGAAGTTTTGGCTTAAGTACTGAATTTTTTGTTCATCGCTGATGCTTAAAATCACATCGCCATCTCGATTGGTGCTTGTTAATTCCTGAGTGAGTTGCGACATGGAAGTAGCAATCACCTGAAAAATAATTGTTTTTTATTGTTTGCAAGACATAGATAAGTCGAATCTATGTATATTGTATATAATTATAAAATTTTATTCAATTTCTTTTATAAAACTTTATTCAATTTCTTCATAAAATGTATTTAATATATTACACAAAAGAGTAAAGAATATTTTTAATAATAACATTTGAGTAAAAAGAATTATTATTTTTTAAGATAATTTATTCAATGAAAAAAGGAATAATGATGATAGTGGATAGTAGTAGATAAAAGTAAATAATGAAACAATTATAGAAGTTAAAATTGAACAAAGAAAATATTGTTCTATTCACACAGGAACTAGTGATATTGTATTACGTTATCAATGATTTTAATGACAATAAAAGTATTTCAATTTTTGTTATGATTAATAAAAATCTAAAGGTATTCATGTCTCATATACATACATAATATTTTTCAATATTTATTTATAAAGCTATAATTGTTCATGTAAATTCGCGTAAACTACATTTACTGTTAGTTATCATATATGTTATCTTTATGCAGAAAACTTTTTTTTTAATAAGAAAGTTGTTAATCGCAATTTGCTTTGTCCAGGCACGTGACATTTCCAGTGAAATATGATGTAATTATTGAGTTGTGTTTAAAAACAGTTGGCCTTTAATATCAGTCGGTAGAATTAAGTATTTGATGCGATCTGCAAGCGCGTGAAATATCATAGTTGGCATTTCTAGTTTCTGTAGTTAGAGCGATTTATAATTCTTAGCTATTAATTTTCCAAACATTGTGCAACTAATAACAGCAGTGTTATCTAAAGTATTTTAAATATAGATTATGTTTCGATTGTGTAGAAAAAAAGAAAGGAAGGAAGGAAAAAGGATGAAAATAAGAGAGAAAAAGAATTTTGTCTAGAGACTAGACAAAAATCTAATAAAGAGAGAGAGAGAGAGAGAGAGAGAGAGAGAGAGAGAGAGCATTTCTTATAACTTTGTGTATGTATTATTTATTTGAAAAGTTAAGCATTATCTTAAATGTGATATATTTACGATATTTATACATATTTATGATTTGTTTCATCAATTTATGATAATATGCTTAAAATTTCCATTAACAGGTTTATTAGTCTTAAACTTAGATTTATAATGAAATATGTTTTTATCATGTTTATGGACAACATAAAAAATACTTATATAAGTTTTATATAGAAGTTAAAACAAAATCAATACTGCGTGTTTAGATAAGTATATATTTCTTTTAGCAGAAGATTTATCAATAATTAAAGGACCATTTTTTATTTTTGAAATATTGCTATCATTTTTTGATGAATAATATGCTTTCACTTTTTTAGGCGTGATCAACTTACTGTTACTCTCTCTGCCCCGTTTCTGATCTCAATGAACTATCCATTTTATATAAGCAAAAATCGAAAGCGATCAATGACTAACAGTAGAAATTCTTATTCAATTTTCAATCTGCATAAGATAATAATTTAGAAGGATTTTGCATATACATCATTCACATACGTTACATATATATTATTCGTAATATTATACACATATTGTTCGCAAACGTGTGTAGTTTCAATATAGTAACGCAATGATATAATTTTATAATAGATGCATCATATTGAATGCAAGATTATTTCAATTTAATTGAGATTAAATTTAATTGATTGATATATATATATAGATTTATCTTTTTCTCAAATTTTTGATTTATTCATGATTCGCATATTTATTTTTTCTCCATGTTTGTGCATGATATAAAACGATGATTTTATGCACTCACGTTCGCGAATTTATATGCATATCCTTTCCTGCATACAGAATATATAACGGAGAAGGACGATTTGGTTTTTTGAATTTATTTGAATTTTGCGAGTAAAAGAAAATTTATTTAAATTTTATTTAACCTACTTTAAAGAATTCAAAGTCTTCAAATTAACTATAGGCAAATATGGTTTATAAAAATAATTGTAGTACTTTTTTGTTTTTCATTAAAAGTATCTAGAAAGATGAATTGGAGAAAAATTTATTTTAAATAAAAATTTGTTTCTAATCTTAAATGCAATTATTTAAATAATTAAAAATTTAATTAGATAAACTTATGTCAATTAATATAAATTATAACTTAATTACAATAAGTAACTAATCGCAATAAGTTATATAAATTTAATTAACAATTTAATTAAATAAACTTATAATAACTAATCGATTTTATGATTACTAGAACATGTCAAGATCGTATCTTACGTTAAAGATGCAAGGGATCATATATCATTTAAATTTTCACTAGACTGCTCGTCTAGTTGAGAATATCTCAAGTTATCAATCGTTGCAGTATTACCTATCTAAGAAGATTTCTATAAACTTCTTATTTAATTAAATAAACTTTTTAAATTCTAAATATATTATTTATATTTTTATGCAACATATCTATACATGATATAATAAATTTTTTTTTAACTGTTATTAAATTATTATACCCTCTCCCATTTATACTATTTGTAAGACATATTACTCAAAATATTCAAAAACTATAATAGGATATATCAGACAATGAGAACATCAATACAGTAATTGGTGCGTAAAAAAATATAATTATCAAATAAAATTTACATATTATTAGGTGTTGGAATTAATTCGTAGCGTTTTACAAGTGATGGGAAGTACTTTCATTAATGTATTTTTTAATGCTCATGTGAAATAAATAACATTCTTTCATTAAAAAACGCTACGAATTAATTCCAACACCTAATATGAAGATGTACAATGATTATCGGTTTTTTTTTACGACAATCATTGTACATCTTCATAATATGTAAATTTTATTTGATAATTTTTTTTGCGCACTAATTGCCGCGCTATATTAATGCTCTCATTGTTTGATATATCCTATTATAGATTTTAAGTTTGAGAGCCCGATTAATATTTAAACATTGTAAAATAATATTTTACATTTTCAAAATATTCAGTAATATTTTTATAAGAATTAAATAGAATAATGAGTAATATTTTTATAAGAAATAGAATATTTATAAGAATTAAATAGAAAACATGTAAAATAATATTTTACATTTTTAAAATATTCAGTAATATTTTTATAAGAATTAAATAGAATTATATTTATAAAAATTAAATAAAATTAGAAAGAATTATACAAACTATACTATAAGAATAATATTACGTAACCGCTACATTAGTATATCGTTTATTGCATTAGAGTGAATCGACTCGGAGATAAAATTTGATATATCGGTACCGAATTCGATTTCTTGCTCATCTCCTGCTATTCTATCCGTCTTATAGTTTAATAATCAGAATATCTACATTCTCGTAAAAATGCCATTGATTGCTGTTGCGGAAAATAACAATGATCTGTCTGTTGCCACATGCGCAATTTCCCTAAATGACGACATAGAAATAGTTTTACGTATTGTTTATGTAGATTATCTCAATTTTACTTTTCATGCTTAAAATATTTCAACTTCTCCACGCCACATCATTTTAAAAATATATTGATATTCATTTAGATCCTAATAAAATAGATCTTTTAATATATTTTAATAATCATTAATATATTCTCCAATAATCCATTTTTTTTTCATTCGGTTATCATGCAAATATGCCACAAAAGTAGCACATATCCTGGTTGACTAAGTTAGGTTTGGCCAGGATCCATGGTCGCGATTGATGATCTCAACCGTTGTTCCACCCACGTGAAGGGAAAGTCGCGATTCTAAGAAGGTTGTGCGAGCGGGACTCTTCTTCGTCGTCTTTTTTTCTTTCAGTCCCAGGTTGACAGACTATATAACGAAAGGTTAATATATGCTAGCTCCCGACCTAACCCTTCTCTACGCGTACCTGCAGCGTCAAATGTTGCTGTAACGATTAATGCCTACGGTATTTATGTCGCGATATTTTAGTGGACAATAGCAAGATCGTTTCAGTCAAACGATCGTAGCGTCAAAGTGCTAGCTGTTTGCTTTTCAATCTTAACATACTTTTAAATTTAATACAAAATATTACTTCATATTCTCCTTATTATTATACATTCTAAAGGGAAAGACTACGCCCTAAAGATATTCTATGAATGTATAAATTCTAAGAACACTAAACATCTAACTATTATTAAATCTTTTATAGAAATATTTTAACAAATATAAACTCTAATAATATAGTAAGCAGATTAGTGGTTACAAATTATAATGAAGAAAATGTGATTAGACTAATTGTCTGTAGGATTTTTTAAATAAAAATATTTAATAGATTTATCGTTTATTTAAATACGTAATGGATTTAACTGGAATTAAAATTGATAATAATGGAAGGTTGAATTGAAATTTTCATAAATTCGTAAAAAAATGACATCCGTAGCAGTAACTATTAAAGTAAATAATTTTTCTGACAACATTATTATAAATTATTAATTTTACTAAAATCAGATTAAATTTAATTTTTTCTTGAAGGAAGTGTAGAATCATTGATTGCACGTTAAAATATGTTAATTTATGCAACGTCGTAAATCAAATTATTCGCGTGCGCAACTAATATACGTGATATGAAAAGAATGTCCCAGATTAGTGAACTGCCCTTTATCTATGTTAATTAAATTGATTGATAAAGTAAAAAAAGACTTACTCGATGGATTTAACGCTATGATTTTTTTTATAATTATTGATTAGCTAATTGCTAATTATTCGAGAATACCATGAAAGCAAATTAGTATTATGTAATTTATGTAACTTTTAATTATATATAAATAATTATTAAAATATTTAAATTACTTAAATTACATATTATTGTTACAATCGTTCATTTTACACAATTTTTGATACTATTGTATTGTACTATTATTATATCTGCTATTATTAACATATATTGTGTAATTTATTACGTTTTATTTAAAATGATTTAATTATTTATGATCTTCAGAGTCTATATTTAATATTATGATGTCAATGGACTGATCATTTCATCTATATTATAATTATGATAAGATGTCAGGAAAATAAGAGAATGAAAAAGTGGAGAAGGAGAGAGAAAGAGAAAGAGAGAATCAGGATTCCATTCAGGGACGCCGGGAATCCGCCAGGAATATCAAAAAAGTGACTGCCCTATCATTTCAATCGAAGACTAACCTTATACACGATTGCAACTCTCATCCTTGATTATGCAAAGAGTGCAAGGCGATCTTTACTATCGTATTAGAAGTCACTATTCAACCTTTTCTTTAAAATGTTGATCGATAGATCAAATTGATACATCAATTGCTTATACGATATTTTGATTTAGTTAATACATATAATTATATGAATTCCGCAGAACTATAACATTATATAATAATTTCCTTCTAATTATTTTTATTTTTATTATTATCGTAACATTGACAAAATTGTTATGTGCAATCTCCTATCACATTACAATGGGATTGTGTAGTCTATTTCATTGTAATAGAAAAAAATTATTGATACAATTAAAATATTAATAATTGTAATATTTTATAACCAAGTAATTATTTTTTACAATATAAATATAAAATTTAATTTTAAAACTATTAGTTCAATTAAAATTTAATAAAACATATTTTAACTTTTGTAATATTATAATAATAATAGATTATATTTAATCTTTTTTATTTTATTGCAAAACTGCTACTACATATTACATGTTTAAAATGTGTATATGGTATATTGCAAAAAAAAAATATATAATTAGATTTTTTATTAAACTATTAAATAATTAAATTTTAATTTAATTAGGTACTTTTATATCGACGAACCTTTAATTCATATATTTTTAATATGTTAATTTTTTTATTTATATTTAGTCCATGAATTTTTTATTAAGCGAAGAAGATAATATTGCAGATAACTAAAATTGCATTTCAAGTTTTTGTGAAATCTGAATATCATCAAAAATTAATTGAAGACAAAATATATGTTCAAGGCTAGAAAGGTAGACATAATGACATTTGAGCCAAATATTTTAATTGCTCATGGCGAATCTGCCAGTCAAATGGCCAAAGCTGTATCACCTTATGAATCACATACAGAGGCCGAATCATCTTTCAGTGAAAGTCACCTGTAAGTAGTTACGTAAGGGACACCAATGATTTAGCCTGAGGCAAAGCCTTTGGTATATAATTGTATGTCAATCTCATTGATCTCACAATCAATAAAATTATGTTAAAAAAATATTTTGTAAATTAATCGCATTTTTTTGTTATCTTAATATAGAGAAATTCTATGAGTTTTTAATTATAATACTCCAGATAACTGTCTTTTCTTTAGAATCACAAATTTTATTAATTAATAATTTCTTAAATATTAAAATTACAAGAAAAGAGCTGTAGTTCGAAATTTATTGATGACATGTAGGCCTTAAAATGTTCTTCTATCAATTTTTTAAAATTATTATTGTATTTATATATTGCATTATAAAATGTAATTAATATATAGTTTAAAATGTTTATAAGTAGTAAATTATATGGACATGCACATATATACACACACAATAAATCTTGTGTTCTCGATTAAATCAAAATTTTAATTAAATTTCAATGACATCCAGGAATTCATTGATACATGAAAACTCGAGTATGTAGAAATGTGCAAATATTTTCAGATTACACGTGTGCGCGTTTAAGGCAAAACTTCATTCCACATATATGTGAATGAAACATCTTGTTGCGACAATTGTATACATGAATCATGATGATTCTCGGAAAGAAGTGATCTTCTTTTAACAATAAACTTTTCCATAAAAATATATCTTATGATTGGTGAAAGAAATAAAGAAATTGTTATTTAGAATAATTAAGGTAATGTAGAATTTTAGCTAAAACACATATATTAATTAATAATATTATAAACACATATATTAATTTTGTTTATGTATTCCTCTATCTAAACTATTTTTAGATAAACTATTCTTTTAATTTTTAATATTTCGTTATATATTTTAAAATTTTGTTTAAATAGAATCTATTTTAAGAAACAAGGATTTGTTATACTATTTATATAAATTAATTTACAATATATAATAAAAAATTATATAATTTTGATTACTTAAATAAAGAAAATACAACAAATATTTTAAGTGCAGTATTAGATTTGTAAAACGAATTAATTATTGAATGTAAAAGATCATACCGTATATTTACGCGTAGGTGAGAATATGCATATGCACGCATAGATCAAACTATTTAATATTATAATATTTTA